TCTAGTCTGGAACTTCCTTGATATCTTATCGAGGGTTCACGATGAGCGAGTTAAGTACTAGTTGATGTAGGTACGATTCACTTAACGGGAAACTAGCTAGCTTTGTCCTTCACCGATCACTAATGTCCGATGAGAATGCACTGAAGTTACATGAGTTGTAATGTTCGAACTTTGTAAATGCTCCTGGTCAAATATCTGAAGTTGTCCTATTGGTAAGCATTATAACAATCACAGTTATAGCTGCCGACGTTTTGTAGCACACTCATTATAGCGAACTAATAATAGATATTCTCTCTTTTCGGCGAGTCGCGTTGGTTATATTTATAGACGGGTGGGGGCGTTCTAGAAGTTTCAGTTTTACGTAACAACACAAATTTAAGCGTTTACGTACATACACAAATATTGTTGATTCTTACTCTCGAGAATCTTGTACCACTTTGGAGAATAGGCGGGAGTTTCGCAATACATATTTAACAGCATAAGCTATGTATGTTTGTAAATATAAATTTAATCTAAACAACGTTGATATTAAAATAAATATATAATAATAAATTCGTTACAATGATTCACATGTAACTGTAAACTTGTATGATATGTTTAGTCTATCGTTGAATGACGTTTCTTTTTTGCAGTAGGGCATTAAAACAAAAGATGATAAGGTACATTAAGCGAGGTTAAAGCATGATAAAAGTAATTGATTAAACTATATTTACATTCAAAACATTCTGAGTAACTGACGGAATGATAAAATGATAAAATATAGTTACAGTATTCATAATCAACCTTCTCCAAAATGAAGATAGGATCAATAGCTCTAATATTTAATTTGAAATTCACATTTTTCCATTATGAAACAATCCATTAATAAAGTTAATAGTGATTGTTACATATATTGGCTCAAGGCATATGAATTCAGATGCTAAAGTTCACTTTACTGAAGTTGTCTTGCGAAAACCAACAACAAATAAAAACGCCTAATACCAAGAATATACACACAGAATATACTTAAAAAGTCAACTGTACTTAAGATCATAAAAAAAACGATTCAAATCAAGCTAATTAACAATAAACACCATTTCTGAAGTGTCATGAAAATATTTTAAACAGTAAATAGTAACAGGTGTATACACAAATACGAAGATGTAATAGTTTTTACGTGTTTTTCGGCAG